GCATACAGGATTTGTGTGGGAATTTGTTTTTTAATGGCTCCTTCTGTTCAGGCGCATCATTATCTATCAATCAGCTGATTATTTACCCTCAGGTTATATTGCCAGTCACCCGCATCAGGGCTGGCACGCCCACTGAGATGTAGGTTATATGCAGGGAGGTCAAGGCTGTACAGGTGAAAAGGTATACTATCCATATGGAAGGTGTAATTACAGTATACTGTATGTAGGTTGAAGCCTTGGTTTAATCAAGTCCCTCCATAACCTCCACTGATTGCTAATGTCCCAGCCAGGATACATAAAGGCGTTAGAGGGATGGGACTCACAGTCTGCCAAACCTGGCAAGCTACACGTAGAAAAACGGGATCCAAAAGGGTTCTTCGGCTGTCCCCATAAAATAACCCTTTTTGGTTCCAGGTAGAACCCTTTGGGGTTGGAGGTGAAAGAAACGCACACCTATTTAGGCGAGGTGCTGGCTAACGGAGTAGAACACTTGATAAAGAAAAGGAGAGCCTCACACTCTAGGAGCTCAGATGCAATAATGTAATAACCTAATAACCAACGTTTCGACAGACAAGCTGTCTTCATCAGGGTATAATGCCAAACACTACGGGTCACTAGTTTATATAGTGTCAAAGGACACACACAGGTGTCTGTAATCATGGCCGGGTGTGGCCTGATATCATTGGTTAATTCACAGATAAACAGAGCATAGAAATGCAGATAGAATGGTGCACCAGATAGAAATGTTCTCCCTGTTTCATTATTTGTTTCAGTCGTAGGTAGTATTTCGTATTTTTGCTGTCAGACGGTTTTTGGAGAATTATTTGCTCTGCCTTTCATTTATCGTGAAGTCCGTTATTTTGTATTCTGGCTTCGGGACCACCAGTAAAGATCCTTGTTTCACCATCTCTGCCTACTGCCTACTGTATATCCTGCACCGCACCTCGGTCACACCTCACACCAACCCTTACAGAACACTGAGCCAATATGGACCCAGCGGAGGCCGCACAGTATCGGAGCGCATTGGCAACACAGGGACCGCAACCTGCAGCAGAGCATCGAGAATCTCTGCCAGCTGACGATTGCCGTGCAGAGCTGGGTGGACACCCGACCAGCCCCGGCAGCCAGCGGAGCGGAAGCCGCGGCATTGGCGTCTCCAGTCTCGCCTGCAACATCGTAGGAACCCCGCCTACCACCTCCGGAGAGGTATGACGGACGTCCAGAAGGCTGCAGGGAATTCCTCACCCAGTGTTCCCTGGTATTCAGCCTACAACCCTCCTCCTTCCCGACTGAGCAGGGCCGGGTGGCTTACATAATCACTCTGTTGATGGGTCGGGTCCTTTCCTGGGCTACCGCGGAGTGGGAGAGCCAAACTCTGCGTGCTCCGACTCACCCGGGAGCTACGCAAGGTGTTCAATCAATGATGTGCTCCGGGACCTCCTCGACTACAGCGTCTTCGTGTATTTGGATGACATCCTAATATTTTCAAAGGACATGAGTGAACACCAGCAGCACGTTCAGCAGGTCCTCCAATGCCTTCTCCGTCACCAGCTACATCAAGGCGGAGAAGTGCATGTTCCACACAGAGACAGTCTCCTTCGTGGGGTTCATTGTCACCCAAGGGGACCTACGGATGGACCCAGCCAAGTTCAGCGCGGTACTGGATTGGCCCCAGCCCTCATCCCTCAAGCAACTACAGCAGTTTTTAGGGTTGGCTAATTTTTATAGCCGATTTATTGGCAATTTTAGCTCCCTAGCCGCTCCCCTGACAGCCTTCACCCAGACAAGCGTGCGCTCCTTCGCCTGGACCCAGGAAGCGGGGAACGCATTTGATGCACTTAAACTGCGCTTTACATCGGCCCTGGTCCTAGGGCATCCTGATCCATCCCTGCCGTTCATTGGGGAGGTGGATGCTTCAGACGTTGCGGTGGGAGCAATCCTGTGTCAGCGGTTCCTCATAGACGGTAAGACTCACCCCTGCTCGTTTTTCTCCCGTCGGCTGTCCCCGGCGGAGTGGAATTACGACGGAATTACGAGTTGCTAGCGGTCAAGCTCGCCCTGGGGGAGTGGAGGCATTGGCTAGAGGGGGCTGCATTCGACGTATGGACGGACCATAAGAACTTAGCCTACATTCAGGGGGCCAAGAGGCTCCACTCGCGCCACTCCAGGTGGTCGTTGTTCTTCACCAGGTTCCGATTCACCATCTCATACCATCCTGGTGGAGAGGGACGACCCCATTGTCCCCAACGCCCTGATTGCTGCTCCAGTTTCGTGGGGAATCGATAGGCTGGTCAGAGCAGCGCTACGGTGGGAGCCCGATCCGGGCGGAGGTCCATCGGAGAGGATGTACGTACCCAAGGTGGTGCGCTCGCGACTGCTTCAGTGGGCGCACGTGTCCGACCTCACCAGCCATCTGGAGGGCGCCAGGATGTTGGAGTTCCTGCGTAGGAGGTTCTGGTGGCCATCTGCTGAGGGGGATACGCGGTCCTTCGTGGCTGCTTGCCCGGGGTGCGCACGCACGAAGAGCTCACGTAAGCCCGCGGCAGGGCTGCTCTGACCCCTGCCTATCCCCAAGTGACCCTGGTCCCACATCTCGCAGGATTTAATTTCCGTCCTACCCCTCTCTGATGGATACACAGTCATCCTGGTCATTGTGGACCGGTTCTCGAAGGCTGCCCACTTCATTCCCCTTCCGCAGGCGTAGCCCGGCCCCGTTTTTTTGCCCAGGACAGAAGGTGTGGCTCTCCACGTGGGATCTTCCCCTCCGCGTGGAGTCCAGGAAGCTGTCCCCCAGTTCGTCGGGCCATTCAGAGTGGTCCGGCAAGTCAACCCAGTGGCCTACCGCCTGCAACTTCCCCCCACCATGTGGGTGCATCCTACATTCCATGTGTCCCTCCTCAAGCCCGTCGCCACCTGTCCCCTGGCTCCCCCTCCTCTTCCTGTTCCCCCGCTGCGCCTCGTCGGAGGGCAGCCGGCTTTTACTGTGGACCGGATCCTGGACTGCCGGCTGGTGGAGAGGGGTCTCCAATTTCTGGTGGACTGGGAGGGTTATGGGCCGGAGGAGCGGTCCTGGGTGCCCAGGAGGGACATTCTGGACCCAGGGCTGATAACAACGTCGGGGGGCACTATTACAGGAGGGGGTCGCAGTTCCGTAGCGACCCACTAGATGTCATCCTCCGACAACCTTAGGCACCTCCTCATTCACAATCTGGACTAATCACCTGTGTCTACCTGTTCACCTGTGTATTTATGCCCTCACTTCCCTGTGTTCCCTTGCTCAGTTTTCTCAGTTAGTTTCTCTATGTCCAGAAGGACTACTCAGTGTCTGATCAGAGACCTATGTACAGGTACTTGAGAAGTATTCTCCCTGTTTCGTTATTTGTATCAGTCGTAGGTAGTATTTCGTATTTTTGCTGTCAGACGGTTTTTGGAGACTTATTTGCTCCGCCTTTCTTTTATCGTGATAAGTCCGTTATTTTGTATTCTGGCTTTGGGACAACCAGTAAAGATCCTTGTTTCACCATCTCTGCCTACTGGCTACTGTATATCCTGCACCGCACCTGGGTCACACCTCACACCAACCCTTACAGGTAGAGGCGCAAATAGACGTTGTGCAGGGATATTTTGGGGTCGTAAATCAGAGTTTACCAATTGATCGCTGAGATTTCTGCCCCACGAGAATACGACCAAGGGAGGGTCCGAAAACACATTACCAATACTGTCATCGGATCTTAGAATGTGTCAATGTTTGTGAATTATTCCCTTAATTTGTTCAGAGCACTTTGAATAGCGTGTAGTTAGAATGCAAGAATGCTTTTTTTTGCGAGACTGTCGTTGAAAGAGATCATGTCTCGATTTGTTTTGAATTTTCTCAATGGCAGTATTAATCTGACCATTTTTGTACTCCCTCTCCTTTAATTTTCTTTGCGTCTCAGCCATATTTCTGTCTTTAATCTGATAGTTTTTTGCAAATTCTTTTGATTAGACAGAATTGGCTGTAGGGCAAACTGTTTTTATTGTGATTTTGCTATTTATTGTAAATGTTTGTAGGCCTATGTAGCCAAATTGTATCTATGATCGTATGCTATCCATTCATGTTTTTTGTATGCTCTGTTTATCTGTGAATTAACCAATGATATCAGGCCACACCCGGCCATGATTACAAACACCTGTGTGTGTCCTTTGACACTATATAAACTAGTGACCCGTAGTGTTTGGCATTATACCCTGATGAAGACAGCTTGTCTGTCGAAACGTTGGTTATTAGGTTATTATATTATTGCATCTGAGCTCATAGAGTGTGAGGCTCTCATTTTCTTTGTCAATAACCTTTTTGGGTTCCATGTAGAACCCTCTGTGGAAAGGGTTCTACATGGAACCCAAAAGGGTTCTACCTGGAACCAAAAAGTGTTATTAAAAGGGTTCTCCTATGGGGACAGCCGAATAACCCTTTTAGGTTCTAGATAGCACCTTTTTTTCTAAGAGTGTAGATTAAGGCTCCTTGTGGATTTGTGATTAACCCCACCTACTGCTTACCATTTAGTCAGTCCTCCCTCTTCAATGCAGATGTGGATATAAGGTGAGATAAATAAATGAGAGATTTTAATGATAGGACATTTCACACTGTTTAACTGGTTGGCGTCAGAGAGTTACACCAATCTTGGCTGAATACGCTCATGTTGATGTGTAGAGTGAGTCATCACATTTACTCTGTTATTCCTGTGGCTAACGGTCATAAAAAGACAATTAAAGATGACAAAGATTTTTTGGCACGTCCATTATCCATAACAATCTCTCCGGAGGGATCATCCCCTAAATATTCTGCCTTGTTTTCTTGTCCTGTGTATTGGAGGAGGAGGGAGAGGTCATTACTTGATCTAAAGTCCCATGGTAATTGTAATTAGGGAGGGGGTTGGAGGTAACAGGCGACATGATAATCAATTTGAGGCTGTATTGGAAACGAGCTGCTGGGGTGCTCCAGCTCCCTATGAAGATACCAGATGTCCCCAGCCGTGTGTGGGCCTGTGAAGGGGGAACGGAGTGGAAGGGAGAGACAACAAGAGGGAGGGAAGGAGAGTATGTGCAGGAAAGGCTGCATGAGGCACATACTTTTAGCTGGATAGAGGATTTTTAGGGTGTGAGGATTTTTAGGGTGTGTGTATTGAGTGTGCGTGTTTGCTTGAGAGACAGTGCCATCTGCCAGCAGGACAGTCGGGGTTCAGCAGATGTGTTCTCTGACACTGGGGGCAGGATGAAGAGAGGGTTCTGACACCGTCTACCTCTGTGGGAGGGAGGAGACAGACGGCTGGGTGACTGGACAGCTGCATGGCACATGACACCCACATACGCACATACACACCATTCCACAAATGCGACACACACACACAGACACACGCACGCACAGATGCACATGTCAATACATACTAATACAGTATACATACTCACATGCTCACATAGACAAACATTGAACCTGTTGACACAGATACAGACCTCTTGTCCCAGAGCTCTGGCTTTTACCATTGGACCCTGAGGGGAAATGCCCTTTTGGGGACACAGGAGGGGGTGAAGGTCTGGTCAGGGCTGTCCTCATTTGGGTGGTGACTGGGTTGAGCTGTGTTGGCCAGTGACAGACAGACAGATTGACTGACAGACTTTGACTGACTGACAGACAGACAGACTTCAGGGCCAGCAGATGACAGGAGAGGCAGCTGTAGAGTACTCCAGACAGAGTTCATGTGTCTGGTCATTGAGCAGAGTAGAGCAGAGCAGCACAGACAGACAGAGTGAAGGAGAACTTTCAGATCTCAGTGAAAGGTCACCGTGAGCCCCGGCTGGCAGACCGGCCCGGCCAGTCATCTGCAATTGGCCGCAGGGACCAGCGGGAACCCTGACTGCACATCTACGACCTTTAGAGAAGACACTTCCTGTCTACAGCGCCAGAAACAGTCTGTTAGTGTCTTGACTGAGGAGCGGGTGTGTGGCAGGGATATTCTACTCTAGTCTTCACAGGCTTTAGTGTCTACCAGTTCTCTAGCTTTCCTGGAGCTAAGGTTATCAAATGAAATCAAAGTGTCCGAGAATCTTATTCCCTCTTGGTTTATGGGTGTTTCTGCTGGTGGCAAGCACATACAAGCCTGAAAACTAGCAGACACTGTGGTCCTCGATGACATGAGTGTGACACTCCCTAGGAGCAGAGTTGTGACAACCCCTAGGAGCAGAGGTGTGACAACCCCTAGGAGCAGAGTGTAAAGCCTGTCTCTTAATTTAGGATAACACCACCTCTGTTACCATGGACAAACCACTGGACCATCCACTGTCCTAATCAAGAGACGTGTTAAATCTTATTAAGACTATTTTCTTTCGGAGTGCGACACGCACTGCTCATCCCAAGCCGACTTCCACCAACCAACCGCTCCTATTTTTAATTGGCGCTCATTAAAGAAAAATGCTGTTGTTGCTCCATTTTCAAAAAAAGTATCTCGAAATGGTAATTAATGGGGCATCTGTAAGAAAGCTGGCAATTAGCGAGACCTGACAGATGAGCAGGCCGTGGTGCCGGATGCTTTGATGACTCTGAAGTTCGGGAGAGCTGCATATTTGTTTTGCTTTAAGGGCTGCGGAGAGGAGGGGCACTGTTTGATTTAGGGCTAGAAACAGGGTTAGCAGTAAATGGGCTCCTTGCTTTCAATCAGCAGTGGCCAGGAAGAGATCATTATGCAGTTGTCAAGGTTCCTAAATTATTTACTGTACATTGCTTCTTTTTTCCATCCACTCCAGTGTAAGTTTAGTCACGTGATGCTTAACTCTCCCTAGCACTCCTGTTCATATTATAGTCATATTATAGACAGTATTATCAAAAGAGATTACCAATCCAGAGATGATGGAAAATGAACTAACCCTGTTGTCCTTTTTGTGACAGGCGAGCCCGCGGTGATGAGGGGGAACAACTGTCTGAACGCAGCCAAGGCCTGCAACCTGAACGACACGTGTAAGAAGTACCGCTCGGCCTACATCAGCCCCTGCACCAGCCGTGTCTCCACTGCAGAGGTCTGCAACAAGCGTAAGTGCCACAAGGCCCTGCGACAGTTCTTCGACAAGGTGCCGCCCAAGCACAGCTACGGCATGCTGTTCTGTTCCTGTCCAGCCGGCGACCAGTCAGCCTGCTCTGAGCGCCGGCGCCAAACCATTGTACCAGTCTGCTCCTATGAGGACAAGGAGAAGCCCAACTGTCTCTCCCTGCAGACCTCCTGCAAGACCAACTACATCTGCAGGTACACCAGGATAAACAGTTGTCACAGTACACAAGATTGTACACAGGCATCAAACATATAACATATCTAACAATCACACAGTCTCACGTGTCAGACTCACACCACATTTAAAACACATACCAACCATTGTCAGTGTATGGATAAAACTACATTCCAGTCAACAACAGTTTATTTTCTCAAACCCTTCCCAATAGCATCCTCTGTAATGTGAAGAGGTGCTAGAGACAGATTCCACGTCCTAGCCCGACACCAACGTGGAGGGCTGTCTAAATAAACAGCATGGAGGGTGCTATCATGCCTTCAGAGGTGTTGAGAAACATACCTGGCCCTCATAAAAGCTGTGAAAAACACCATAAACAAACCTATTAAGATAACTGGAGACTATCTTGGGAGATCGCATCAGAAATAAACCATCACCATTCACTAATGCATATAAGCAAACACTAAAGCTACCTACAATAACTGAGAGTATTCAAGTTCAGCAGTGAAACACTCTGCTTTTCTCATCTTTTCTGCGTTAAGTGTTTCATTTATCTGTCATGTAGCAGTATTCTGGCTAGAATTACTGGGAGGCGGAGTGGATGTGTTTGGGTTAAGTGACATCTGTTTCATTGAAAGTAATAGAGGCCATATTGAAATGCAGCGGTACGGACTGGACTCAATGAGTGACGTCTGCCATCACCTCTAGAGCTACAGCTCTCTGTCTGGGATCAAATGGAGGCATTAGTGCAAATAAATTGGGTCCATTTGGATTCCAGCCTCAGGGCTGTGCATTCTTTCTCTATCAGGCTCTCGCTCTCTCTCTCTCTCTCACTCTCTCTCTCTCTCTTGCTCTCGCTCTTCCCCACTCTCACTCTGTCTCTCTCTCTCTCTCTCTCTCTCTCTCTCTCTCTCTCTCTCTCTCTCTCTCTCTCTCTCTCTCTCTCTCTCTCTCCTCTCTCTCTCTCTCTCTCTCCTCTCTCTCTCTATTTCTATCTCCCTCCTTCTGTCTCCCTCTTTCTTCCATTTTATATCTCTTCATTTAGCTAAATGTTCTTGTTCCCACTCTCTTTCCCTTCTCAACATTAGGTGGTAGTAGGTTTTCCAGCTCTATCATGAGAGTGGTATCCAGAGCTCCTCTCTGTTTGTGGGGAAGGATTATAAGACCAGGCGTACCTGCTGGCTGCTCCGTCACCCTATGAGAGTGGTATCACAGAGTGGAATCAACAGCTCTCCCTCTCCTCCCTCTAGCCCAGGAACAGATTGATGAGTACTGTGTGTGTGCTTGTGTTTATAAACCGTACCAATCAGTACCAGTGCTTTGTCTATTTGACAGTCACAGTTAGTCTTATAGGGGAGATAAGATAGTTCAGAGGTTTCACTGTTGTCTTTCAGGTCCCGTCTGGCTGATTTCTTTGCCAACTGTCAGTCTGAGCCACGCTCCCTCTCTGGCTGTCTTAAGGAGAACTACGCTGACTGCCTGCTGTCCTACTCTGGCCTCATCGGTGAGTCTCTCCCCTGTCTCCATTAGTCAACCTTTCCTCACACACATTGATAGGTCTCACTATGGTCTTTCATTTTCTCACTGAATCCTCATACTGTCCCCTGAATGGCTCTCCTTCCTGTTGTTATAGTCATCTGTCACAGAGAGTCCCTTCACCCCCCTCCTATCCTCTCTCTACACTCTTAGAAAAAAGGTTTCCAAAAGGGTTCTTCCACTGTCCCCATAGGATAACCCTTTTTGGTTCTAGGGATAACCCTTTTTGGTTCCATGTAGAACCCTTTTGGGTTCCATGTAGAACCCTCTGTGGAAAGGGTCCTACATGGAACTCAAAAGGGTCCTACATGGAACTCAAAAGGGTTCTACCTGGAACTCAAAAGGGTTCTACCTGGAACCAAAGGAGTTCTACATGGAACCAAAGGGGTTCTACCTGGAACCAAAGGGGTTCTACCTGGAACCAAAGGGGTTCTACCTGGAACCAAAATGTGTTCTTCAAAGTGTTTTTTTTTTCTAAGAGTGTAGCACAGCACAACCCAACATCACACCACTTCATCCTGCCCCTCCACATCATTTCATGAAATTAACTAATTGTTCCAGAGGAAACTAAGGAAACCAAGACTCAGTTGCAGACAACGCAGTAGAGCGAAAGAATGAGTGTGTGAAAGACAGGAGGTTGTTGGCACCTTAATTGGGGCGAACGGACTCGTGGTAATACTGGAGCGGAATTAGTGGAATGGTAACAAACACATCCAGGTGTTTGATGCCATTCCATTTGCGCCATTCCGGCCATTATTATGAGCCGTTTTCCCCTCAGCAGCCTCCTTTGGTGTGAAAGAGATAAAGAGAAGATGTGTCATCCTTTATCTACCCCTTCTCTCTTCTGTGTGCTGAGAGACCCATCCTGGCTCAATCCATCACATTTTCCTGACTAGCACAGCTGTAGGAGATAGTCCACACAGCAACCAACAAAACGCCAATTAATTTTGCCGCAAAACAAAAAGGGCTTGTTTGGACGGACGCCAGTAGGGGAACAATGCATTAACGGAGTAAGAAATCACTGACTGTAGCTATTTAGTTTACTACAAAGTGGGAGAAATCTAATTCTTCCCACTGCCTTTGGAAATACTTCATATTGTCACTTTTGGAAATACTTCATGATGTTTTAAGTGTTACATGTTGATGAGATAATTGGATGAAAATAGAGCTGGAAGAAAGTTTTTGCTAATAGTTGCAGTATGATAGGGATTCACCATTACCTGATAGTTTGGTGCAGTGGGAGGCAGAACCTCTTTCACCATACCTCATGACCAGCCAAAAATGCCAATAGGCCATGGCTCTGCCACAGAGGATAGCAAACAAAATGGTAGAAAAACTCTGTTTCTTTAAAGGCCCAGTGCTGTCAAAATTCAGTTTTTCCTGTGTTTGGTATAATATTGTACAACAGCTGTAAATGTGTGAAACAATTTGATCAGTGTTATTTCCTGATAGTTGCTGGTTGAAATACAATCTCCATAGGATCTTCTAATCAGCAGGTTTGTTTCGGCTTTACAAAGAGAGTTACAAACCTCACTGCCAATAACAGCTAGTTTTCAGTTTTCCCCTCCCAACTCAGACTACTCCCAGACAGTCCTAGCAAAATTCTTGCTTGAGAATTTTTGTTTTGCTAAAAAGCAATTTTTGTCCATTTTAATGGACATCTATCACAGTAAGGGACTTAATTGTTACCCAGAAATGATTTGATATTGATATAAAAACGGCTGCATTGGGTAATTTATTGTATTTCCTCCTCCCTCCCAACAGGTACCGTGATGACGCCCAACTACCTGCGCTCTCCTAAGATCAGTGTTGTCCCCTACTGTGACTGTAGCAGCAGTGGCAATGGCAAGGAGGAGTGTGACAAGTTCACAGAGTTCTTCACAGACAACAGCTGCCTCCGTGAGTGACTGACCGCCGATCTCCTGTCCTCTCCTCTCATCTTCATTCTCATACCATTTTCCTGTCTCCTCCACTCTTTCTTTGTGGGTCTCTTGCCAATTATTCATCCCTCTCTCATTGTCCCTTCCTTCATCCTCCGTCCCAAGTGATGCTCCATCTCCCCTGTGAGCAGTAAAGCAGAGACAGAGGAGTAAGGAAGACACAGTGATAAGGCTGTGTGTGTGAATGCATGCACACGTGAATAATATATGTTCTTGTGTGAGTGAGTAGTTCCAATATCCGCATAGCTCTCCCGGATCAGCGATAGCCAGGGCCCAGTTTTTCAAAAAGTGATTTATCTGGATTTCGCCTATCGGATATGATTAAATGCATAGAAATATAATGAATAGAATGGTAATCCCCATTCAAGTCAATTATTCGTCTGCTCTATTCATTCTTTTTCTATGCATTTAATCCTATCCGATAGGCAAAATCCAGATAGATCACTTTTTTAAAACTGGGCCCTGGGCATTGCCTTCTAACTCGGTGGCCCTCCTCTCACATATCAGACAGCTTTAATTAACCAACCCACCCCTCCCTTCCCCGCTCTCTCTCTCTCTCTTTCCATCCACTCCTCCGCTACAGCAATTCCTCCTTTAATAAATACAGCTCCTTCACTATCACAAGGTGTCAGGCCTCTGGAGATAGCAGATCCATGGCTGTGGTGCCTGTCTTTGTGCAATCACAGCTCAACTTCCTCTGCTGGGTATGGCATTGTCTCTCAGCCCTTTTCTTTGTCAAAGCCAGTAGGATCCACTATAGTCACGCTATCACTGACCCTATGAGGAAGTTTGTTTTCATTGTATTATAGAGATAGTGTTATACACAACCTTTTGTTCCCAATGTGACAATGTGCACGACACAGCACTATCACAATAGAGCAATTTCTTTAGTGTCATTGAAGTCTATTTGACCCACTGCTATTGAGAAAAAAAACATGTAAAAATGAGAAGGATTTGGGTTTTAGCTTTGAGAAAGAAAGCCATTGAGATAGTCTCTCTAGATAGACAGGTTGCCTCCCACAATGTACCAATGTACCATACACATCTGCAATTAGACCAACATCAGTTTGGCAGAGAGGAAAGGGAGTGTGGACATCCGTCCAGCGTCATATCCATTCATGTCCTGCCGTAAACATTTTGCAAGTGAGTAGTTTGCATTCGCCATGACGTTTGTGTTACAGGCTGACAACCACTGACTGGCTGTGGCTAAAATTAACAGTGGCTTGCGAAAGTATTCACCCCCCTTGCCATTTTTCCTATTTTGTTACCTTACAACCTGGAATTAAATCATTTGATTTACACAACATGCCTACCACTTTGCAAAAGTATTCACCCCCCTTGCCATTTTTCCTATTTTGTTGCCTTACAACCTGGAATTAAATCATTTGATTTACACAACATGCCTACCACTTTGAAGATGCAAAATACTTTTTTTTTGTGAAGCAAAACAACTATTCAAAACAACTATTCACCCCCCCAAAGTCAATACTTTGTAGAGCCACCTTTTGCAGCAATTACAGCTGCAAGTCTCTTGGGGTATGTCTCTATAAGCTTGGCACATCTAGCCACTGGGATTTTTGCCCATTCTTCAAGGCAAAACTGCTCCAAGCTCCTTCAAGTTGGATGGGTTCCGCTGGTGTACAGCAATCTTTAAGTCATACCACAGATTCTCAATTGGATTGAGGTCTGGGCTTTGACCAGGCCATTCCAAGACATTTAAATGTTTCCCCTTAAACAACTCGAGTGTTGCTTTCGCAGTATGTTTAGGGTCATTGTCCTGCTGGAAGGTGAACCTCCGTCCCAGTCTCAAATCTCTGGAAGACTGAAACAGGTTTCCCTCAATAATTTCCCTGTTTTTGGCGCCATCCATCATTCCTTCAATTCTGACCAGTTTCCCAGTCCCTGCCGATGAAAAACATCCCCACAGCATGATGCTGCCACCACCATGCTTCACTGTGGGGATGGTGTTCTCGGGGTGATGAGAGGTGTTGGGTTTGCGCCAGACATAGTGTTTACTTGATGGCCAAAAAGCTCAATTTTAGTCTCATCTGACCAGAGTACCTTCTTCCGTATATTTGGGGAGTCTCCCACATGGCTTTTGGCGAACACCAAACGTGTTTGCTTATTTTTTTCTTTAAGCAATGGCTTTTTTCTTGCCACTCTTCCATAAAGCCCAGCTCTGTGGAGTGTACGGCTTAAAGTGGTCCTATGGACAGATACTCCAATCTCCCTGTGTGGAGCTTTGCAGCTCCTTAAGGGTTATCTTTGGTCTCTTAGTTGCCTTTCTGATTAATGCCCTCCTTTCCTGGTCTGTGAGTTTTGGTGGGCGGCCCTCTCTTAGCAGGTTTGTTGTGGTGCCATATTCTTTAAATTTTTTAAAATAATGGATTTAATGGTGCTCCGTGGGATGTTCAAAGTTTCTGATATTTTTTTATAACCCAACCCTGATCTGTACTTCTCCACAACTTTGTCCCTGACCTGTTTGGAGAGCTCCTTGGTCTTCATGGTGCCGCTTGCTTGGTGGTGCCCCTTGCTTAGTGGTGTTGCAGACTCTGGGGCCTTTCAGAACAGGTGTATATATACTGAGATCATGTGACAGATCATGTGACACTTAGATTGCACACAGGTGGACTTTATTTAACTAATTATGTGACTTCTGAAAGTAATTGGTTGCACCAGATCTTATTTAGGGGCTTCATAGCAAAGGGGGTGAATACATACAGTGGGGGAAAAAAGTATTTAGTCAGCCACCAATTGTGCAAGTTCTCCCACTTAAAAAGATGAGAGAGGCCTGTAATTTTCATCATAGGTACACGTCAACTATGACAGACAAAATGAGAAAAATGTTTCCAGAAAATCACATTGTAGGATTTTTTATGAATTTATTTGCAAATTATGGTGGAAAATAAGTATTTGGTCAATAACAAAAGTTTCTCAATACTTTGTTATATACCCTTTGTTGGCAATGACACAGGTCAAACGTTTTCTGTAAGTCTTCACAAGGTTTTCACACACTGTTGCTGGTATTTTGGACCATTCCTCCATGCAGATCTCCTCTAGAGCAGTGATGTTTTGGAGCTGTCGCTGGGCAACACAGACTTTCAACTCCACAGAAAGATTTTCTATAGGGTTGAGATCTGGAGACTGGCTAGGCCACTCCAGGAACTTGAAATGCTTCTTACGAAGCCACTCCTTCGTTGCCCGGGCGGTGTGTTTGGGATCATTGTCATGCTGAAAGACCCAGCCACGTTTCATCTTCAATGCCCTTGCTGATGGAAGGAGGTTTTCACTCAAAATCTCACGATGCATGGTCCCATTCATTCTTTCCTTTACACGGATCAGTCGTCCTGGTCCCTTTGCAGAAAAACAGCCCCAAAGCATGATGTTTCCACCCCCATGCTTCACAGTAGGTATGGTGTTCTTTGGATGCAACTCAGCATTCTTTGTCCTCCAAACACGACGAGTTGTGTTTTTACCAAAAAGTTCTATTTTGGTTTCATCTGACCATATGACATTCTCCCAATCCTCTTCTGGATCATCCAAATGCACTCTAGCAAACTTCAGACGGGCCTGGACATGTACTGGCTTAAGCAGGGGGACACGTCTGGCACTGCAGGATTTGAGTCCCTGGCAGCGTAGTGTGTTACTGATGATAGGCTTTGTTACTTTGGTCCCAGCTCTCTGCAGGTCATTCACTAGGTCACCCCGTGTGGTTCTGGGATTTTTGCTCACCGTTCTTGTGATCATTTTGACCCCACAGGGTGCGATCTTGCATGGAGCCCCAGATCGAGGGAGATTATCAGTGGTCTTGTATGTCTTCCATTTCCTAATAATTGCTCCCACAGTTGATTTCTTCAAACCAAGCTGCTTACCTATTGCAGATTCAGTCTTCCCAGCCTGGTGCAGGTCTATAATTTTGTTTCTGGTGTCCTTTGACAGCTCTTTGGTCTTGGCCATAGTGGAGTTTGGAGTGTGACTGTTTGAGGTTGTGGACAGGTGTCTTTTATACTGATAACAAGTTCAAACAGGTGCCATTAATACAGGTAACGAGTGGAGGACAGAGGAGCCTCTTAAAGAAGAAGTTACAGGTCTGTGAGAGCCAGAAATCTTGCTTGTTTGTAGGTGACCAAATACTTATTTTCCACCATAATTTGCAAATAAATTCATAAAAAATCCTACAATGTGATTTTCTGGAGAAAAAAAATCTCAATTTGTCTGTCATAGTTGACGTGTACCTATGATGAAAATTACAGGCCTCTCTCATCTTTTTAAGTGGGAGAACTTGCACAATTGGTGGCTGACTAAATACTTTTTTTCCCCACTGTATGCACGCACCACTTTTCCGTTATTTATTTTTTAGCATTTTTTTAAACAAGTTTTTTTTCTTTTCACTTCACCAATTTGGACTATTTTGTGTATGTCCATTACATGAAAGCTACATAAAAATCAATTTAAATTACAGGTTGTAATGCAACAAAATAGGAAAAACACCAAGGGGGGTGAATACTTTTGCAAGGCAATGTATCTTCGTCCGCATTGTGTCTGCCAGTAAACACAGTCCGCCTATGTCATGTTTCCGAGGGGATTAATTTAAAGTCCTGCATCCAAACTTTTGGAAGAGCTGTCTGTCTGAAGAGCACCTTCCCCAAATATTTTTTCTCCTGCCAAGAAAATCTGACATGATTCCCAGACCTAGTACTGTGGTTAATAGGGGTGCTTTGCTCAGTCACTACATGTCTCTGGACTCCTCAAGACATTCAGGAAGAGCCTGTGAAGCTTGTTCGGGTTAAACTGTGTCCATCTCTCCCTCTATCCCATTTTACATTTACATTTTAGTCATTTAGCAGACGATCTTATACAGAGGGACTTACAGTTAGTGCATTCATTTTAAGGTAGCTAGGTAAGACAACCACATATCACAGTCAATAAAGCAGCTATCAGCAAAGTCAGTGCTAGTAAGAAAACAGCTAACTTCCTGCAATTGTACACATTTGCCATGATGCTGAGAGAAACATTTGCTGATTTAAAGCTCATTTCCTGCATTTCCACAATTTTTGCCAAGGGGCAGACAGAATAATTTGCAGTTTTGTAGCTAATCCCATGCTATCTTACACATTTTGCCATGGCTTATGACGTGTTCATATGCTATCTGGGTGGGCCCGACCTCCAGGATGCCCCCAACCAACGTGTTCATATGCTATCTGGGGGGGCATCACCAACCCCTGCGTGCCTGTTCGGTAATCCGGCCCTGAGTGCAAGTGTTGAGCATAGACTGAAAGTAGGGAGGTGCAGCTCCCCTTGCTGCTCCGTAGGCAAGCACCAGGGTCATGAAATGGATGTGAGCTTCAATTGGGAGCCAGTGGAGAGTGTGGAGGAGCGGGGTGACGTTGGAGAACTTGGAAAGGTTGAACACCAGGCGGGAAGAGTTTCAGGGGTTTGATGGCACTAGCGGAGAGCACAGCCTCTGATCCCCTCAGAGATACAAAGGAAGGTAAAAACAGCCGGAGAGAAGAGAGGAGAAAGAAAGAACAAGAGAGAGAAGAGAGAAAGACTCTCCCTCTCTCTCCCCACTCCCTCTCTCGCCCTTCTCCTCTCTCTCTTTCTCTCTCTCTCTCTCTCCTCTCTGTCTCTCTATCTTTCTTTCTCTCTTTCTCTTCTCGAGCTTCTCTCTCTCTGTCTCTCTCTGTCTCTGTCTCTCTCTGTTTCTCTCTCTCTCTCTCTCTCTCTCCCTCTCTCCCTCTCCCTCTGTTTCTCTATCTTCCTCTACTGTCCCCTCTCAGCAC